AACACGGAGATGTGAACTGTTGATGCCTTGAGATGAGGTCTTTACAGCCGAGAGAAGCACTTTGTGCAACGGAGCGAGCAAGGATTCTATCAGAACTCCTCTCAGAAAGGGGTGATCTATACCAATCACGAGTGATTAAAAGGGAATTTTCACTCTTCTCTTTATGGTGTAGATCACCCTACTCATATAAAGATAGTTTTGATAGGATCCCTACTGCAACAAAACTAGGCTAAACTGCACTTCAATGCCCTATAGTTTTAATAGTTTCACCAATCTTCCACTTTAATTCCCCCGATTTTAAAACCGTGTGCTTAAATGCACCAAAGTATTAAAAGTGTTGCGGATAAATATCCCAAAACTTTAAAATATTGCATGTTGTGCCCTCTTATTTATCCAATGTTGCATGCTCGCATCCTCTTATTTACCCAATATTACATATAAATACCCTTTGTTTGTAATTAACCTCACTTAAATACCCTAAAGTTTTTAAAATTTTCAACTCAGCAACATCTGTTATATGATATTCTTGAATGTGTAGAGAAACGTTGTCATTTTTTGTGTTTTTTTCTTAACAATAGGGCATTCATCTGCAACACTTAAATATTTTGGAGAATTTCTTCTTTTTTCACTCGCATTTAAAATAGAGGCCACTTAAGCGCAAGGTTATCGAAACTTCGGGGCATTTAAGTGCCACTCAGCCACAGACTACCAAAAACCAGGAAGAGTTAATAATGAGAGACCCATAAAACACGGTAAGGTTTTTATTTGGATATAAAATAAAATACAAGCCTCCATTAGTTGTCTCTCATAATGCTACTTAATCTACATGTTAATTCTTCCAATTACGGCATTGGATCTCAATTAAATCATGAAATCGAGCAAGGGCGTACCTCAAGGGCATGGTAAGACATGCAAAATTGTTTGAGGCAACCAGTTGATATATTGATCAATCAGCTAATAATGATGATAATAATAAAATTATATTCTATGTGCTTCCTGAGGAGGGATAAGCAACTCCTCATAGTCATCAACCACCACCTGTGCCAAAACCACATTATTATACGTAAATAACAACAATACGAAAATACGTATAAAATGGATGATGCTCAATTAGGAATATAACCTTAAAGTTCTGTCCACCAAATGTATACTCCACCAGTAATTGCTTAGGCTCTCCAGGGCATGGATCACAGAATCCCATTATGCCTGATTTCTTTATCCCTTCATGAAGCTGCAACGCAAAATAATGTTCATTATGGGGAGCCTCGTTTCAAATCACATAGCTAAAAGAATTAGTTCTTCGATGAGTTGAAAAGGAGCTGATGGCAAGACATCTTGTATCACTATATTAACTATATAGAATCTTAGATATGTCTATTTTATGTATCTTCTTTCATAAAATCCTTTGATGAGTTATTGGCTAGCCTCAGAAATGAGAAATTGATCATTGACTCATATCTGATAGGAAACTTTGCATTATACGATATATATGCTGGTAGTTGAGGATAAAGTACACAAATTGTCGAATCTATTTAATAATAAGCCACCGTTTATAAACATAATGTCATCACCAAATTTTTTAATGAACCTGCAGACAATCTACAAAGAGAGCCATAATACTTGTGCATAGAACACTTACTGATGTGAACATTGTATTGCAGATGTTACCGAGGGTGTCAGCAACTTAATAAGTGTAAAAATTAGGCTGTTTTGTACAAAAAGACGTATATATTTCTCCTCAAGTAAAAAGGCAAGAGAAACCAGAAATTAACTAAAATCTGAATGAATAAAAAACCAGAACATTTGAATCGAGAATTCACCTTAAGCTGTCCAGAATCAGAGACTAAAAAGTTCAGAGGCAAAGTTACATCTAGGACTTGTGAAGCCATTTCATCTTCGGTCTCTCTATCTTCACCAACTCTCTTGATTGCTTTGCGATTTCCATACACTGCTCTTGTGATTACCAGTCCACCATTTTCTAACTGTTTATTTCTCTTCCTGTTAGAGACATTTTGGAGTAGTTTCTGTGCCTTTTCAGCAGCCTGCCTTGCTTCCCGAACCTTCATATGTTAGCAGAGGATCAACAAATATAAAATGAAAAAAATATTTACCATATACAACTTCCTACCATCTTAACAAAGAAGAGCAATACATCAGTGAAGCTAACCACATCAGTAAGTATTCAGCGTCAACAGGTGCCAGAAACACACTAGTGTGCTAAAAGAGAATTATAAGTGTGATAATTTCAAATTAATAAAGACTAGGAAATTCCATCTGACACTAGTGTCTGGTAATAAACCAAAATTGCACTTAGTTGTAGCGACAGTATGCTAGCAGAACTCCTACTTGAATTTAGTCAAATTAAATATGCCCTTGGACAAGTCAAGCATGGAGCACGTTGCATGAATGTCACTACATAATAGGCATTAATCAAATATGCAAGTCAACAAGCCAAACTTTCCCACTCATGAAATATATAATGGACAAAGGAAATAAAATGATTGGTATATATTACACTGATAAACATGCACAAAAGCCTCTCAAGCATATAGATCTTGGTTGATGGATCTACCTGAACTGATGACTTCTCCATTCTCTCAAGTTCCTTTGTCCTTTCCCGCCTGAGATAGTAAGGTTTTGCAACGAAATTCTGTAGTATTTTATAAGAACAATATTAGAACTCATAAAAAAGTTACCAGAAAATGCAATGCCTAAGAGAGATTGAACCACCTTCTAGAAACCTCCTGTTGCGGATTGAATTATCGCAATTCACTCCATATTTATAATTTTTTAAACAAGTGAGTCTTTCACTAGGTATATGCCGGAAATAAGACTTCGAGAAGGATTTTTCTTTCTTTTCTAGGTAAGAAGTAAAATACACATATTTCTCTTTGCTTGAATTATGAAGAATCTAACAATATTGCGGCTTAAATATATGACTAAATCACTAATACAGGTAAACATGAGAAGACAAACACTAGGTAATGTATCTTGTTGAGAAACGTGATGCCAGACATGCACTATCAACTTTATCAAGTAATAGTTATCAGACAATTTATCTCCTAATATACCATGCACCACAGGACATTAAATTGCAGAAGAAAAAAAAAAAAAAGGGACGGTACAAGAAAAAGAAAAGAAAAGAAATCAAGAACCTTGATAAGAAAGTAGAGAGACGATGGTATTAGAAATGCACCAGCTGCTATTCGAGCATTCAGCTCAGTGAAAAGCATGATCTGCAAATGGTAAAGGGTAATTGTTAATGATGAAGGAAAAATGAAAAACCAACATTAGACTAGAGCACTAAAATATGTAGGGCAATTGCAATTCTTTCATCAGAAAAAGGGTATATGATGGTCAAAGCATCAAGTTTCAAGACCAATACAGCTTAGACATAGCTCCATTGAGTCCATGAACATTCATGGAATTCAAAGATCGTGGCTTATACTAATGCAGACTTATGCTACAACTGTGAAACCAAATTATCCAATGAATAATTAAATAAAGGATCAGTCAGAATCTTGTGAAATATTTATTTTTTATATTTAAAGTATTTGCATCTTCCTCCACTGCAAGCTAATGCTAAAATGTGGAGGCATCAGTAATACACTAATACGTAAAGCATGTACTAGTAACATGGAGGATTTATTAAATGTAGTCCTTTTTTGTCCATTGCATTTCAAAGATAAGCGAAGTCATGATAGTTGACAGACAGAAACAAATATTGCATTGAAGTCATGCATTAGAATACTTGGAAACAACAGCTCAGGACAATTAAACAATATGTAGATCGTAACCCATGAACTTTCAAAACCATGACTTGGCCACAGGAGCTTGATAATTTAAATGATCAAACTGTTAGAAATATCAGCAAAGGCCATGCTGCAATGTCAATATATAAATTTCCTTTAATATGCAGAGATTGTCATAAATCTTTACATATGCCTTACAGCAAAAAGCAGATCAGAATATCAAACTTCAATTTGTGATCTGCCGAACTAGGAAATCTAAGAATATTAAGTAATAGTTATTAAGATAGGAAATGCAATAAAAGGCACATTTAACTAACCGGAATGATCAGCTTTTGTCCTGCACGGTGTAACTCAAATTTCCATGAGATTCCCTGTGTTCAACATTATAGCCAGAACTACGCGTTAAGAATAGCTAGCATGTCAATATTCAGTTTGATTTTTAAGTCACCATCAGAATAACATGTCTTCCAAAGCTAGAATAATATGAGCAAAGAATGTGTTTGTCAAAATAATTGAGCAAATGAAGAGGAGTCAGCATAGATGCATAATGCTAGACTACAATATTTAACGGTTGTGTTCTTCCACACCAAGCTTGGAAAATGCACAGGGAATATAACCATGACATCCACTTACGACAGAGAATATATTGATAGTTCCATATGTTTCAGAAGGTCATAATTACACAGATTTTTACAATAGAAACTCAACATGCCAGAAGCTATATACAAAATTCAAAAACTTTGAGAAAGCATATTTTTTATGTTTTGTTGGAAAAAGTGTAAGGTGGTGCTTTCTTAGTCACCGTTTAAGATCCTTGACTAGAGCCAGATAATGCTCACTTAACAAGATGAACATAAGATAAACTATGAATGTTTATCAGACCGAGTAACTGGGATTCTAAATGAACGTCATTAAGAGGTTATGGAAGGACAGCAAGCATTTGGCTTCAGATCACCTACAAATTTCTAATGAGTATGAATTTGACAACAGAACTTCATCTATAGTTAATTCTAAAAAGATTTGTGATGATGATATGCAACCAAAATGGCCATTAAACAAAGAAAAACAAAGAAATTATGTAAATACATAGAAAGCTCTTTAGTAGCCGTGTATTGGTACAAATATTGAACAATCAACTTGTAAATATAAGTCCAATTGAAAGCAGTATGCTGTTGAACACATGTAAACATTGGAATTTCCACAATAATGGTGTAATGATGCTTGCTCAGGCAAGTCAGAATATCACATTACAAATAGATAGGTTCAGAACAATCCTCCGTAACCCCCCTCACCCCAATCCCCCATACACTCACATGATATAAATTAAAAAATAGGTCAGGGAAGGAAGCATAGGATCCAGAGGGAGAAAAAGGAAGGAATTATAACTAATTTTTTAACCAAGGACACAAAAGAAGTTGTAATCAAGCACTATTAATAGATTATAAAGCTTAGAATATGAAAGTGGTATCTTTATCTGAACTGAAGATTTTCTTATCTCCCAAATATGCTTGAAATGCTCCAAACATGAACTCAAACCATGAACATTATTATTAAATATAACAAACAATCAAGAAGCACAGAATATTACCTGCGTGAATATTTGCATATGCAGACAGTCAATAGTTTCTCATTGCTGCTTTTGTGAAAAGAAAAAGATTAATGATCATCCTAGATAGGTGTCGAGGTTTGTCTCTTTTAAACGTTATGTAGAAAAGACTAGTTTGAAGGTAGCTTAATTATCCACATTGTGTTTCTTTTTTTTTACCATTTAATTTCTAACTAACTATTATGGTTATACAGTTGGAGATAAATTATTTTGAAATTGAAATAAAGTTTCTCGCCAAAGTATGATGATTTTTTAAAAAATAATAAGAAAATTTTGAGAAGAATACATTTAATTTAGCCCCTCCTTGAAGAGCAATACTCAAAAAACCAGGGATGTTTCACAAAAAAGTGGAGTAAATGCAGTGCACAAAAAAAATTACTAACAGACAGAACAAGATCAAATATGAGTGAAAAGACCTCAGTTATGACTTGCAAAGATGTACGATTCAGGAATAAAACACCATCATACAGCAAGTTAGAGAACTGCAGCAGACACATACACAAGACAAATTGATATAAACTGCATCATGAAATCGATCACCTGAATTCCTATACTGTAGAGTATTCGCACGGTACTAAATTCAGATATCCGCCTCCCACCTCCAATTTCAAGTTCCATAGCAGTGCTGAAATTTTTGTACAAAAAAATTTATGTACTGAAGCATAAAAGATATTAACTGAAAATATATCAGCAACATACTGCAGCATTACAGTAACAATGTAAAGCAATAATCCAAAACATATCTATATATTTTGGAATTACCTTTAATTGTGCAAGGGAAATGTACTTTAACAAAAATCTCATTAGAGTCATCAAAGAGATCTTTCAAAGTGCTAAAGACTGATATATAATAAGTGAGGAAAATTAGAAAATTAAGCATCACAAGCATCATATTTAGACTGGTGAAATTGAAGTACCTTCCAATTCTACCAGCTAGTCGGCCATGAGACTTCTTGGAAAAATGACGAGTATAATGAGCTGATGCACCAATAGAGCTAGTTCCAAACTGCATATATTTAGAAGGAATAAACTAAATGCACCACACCATTAAGAGAATTAACACAATTTACAGCAATAGTTTTTATAAGTTTCACTTAACTAGGTGCGTGTGAGATGGGTGCGCATGCGCGCGCGCTCATGTACGTGCACGTAGGCGTGCGCGTGTGCACCTAGGCGTGCGCGTGTGCACGTTCGTGCATGGAAAAAATGTTTATGAAGTGTCAGCTCATTTTACTAAATGAGCTACCAATAGGTGGGCATGTAGTGAGGCCCACAAATCTCACCATTTTTTTTAATCTATTAGTAGCTTATATAACAAAATGAGTTATCGGCTTACAACTACAAAACCTTACGTACATATGTGTCTGCATATTGCATGTGTTTGTGCGCATGTGGTACACGCATGAAAAGTGCACACACACATATAGCGGTTACAGATAGAAAGAGAGCAGCATACCCCTCCCCCACCCCCAAGCCCCAAAACACTATTTACTAAATAAACAGATGTACATAATAAATTTGCTCATCTACACTTTGGAATCAATACCACAAACAGGTATATAAGCCAGAGGCAGATAAAGTAAAGCAGTTTTCAGTTAAGCAATTCAGTCTATTGGTTAGTATTATTGCTCAAGATACTGAATAAGACAGTACATAAACAGTACTTACAAAGCATGTATATTGCAGAATATGACGGGAAAGAAACTTATATGAGAGATGTTATATATACAGTAATAGCTGCCCCATGAGGAAGAAGTCCTCAGGTGACTACATCTCACTCCCAGGTTTCGGCTGAAAAAGTGAATATTTAAAAATATATGCATATCCATAACATACCTTCAGTTCTCCAGCAGCGGAATTCTTTTCATCCTTCTTTTGCCATCCTACAGATATATTTGATTCTGTTCCAAGAACAAGTTGTATCTGAACAAAATACAAGGGAACATGCAATGCAATGAGATGAATGTATGTTCTTGCTTATGTTCAAAAATTTGCGGGTTTAAAGAAAAATTTAGAATAGTAGAAAACATGTTTCCATGTGCATCAAACTTGATGGAGAAATTTAATGAAGTAAATTTTCAATAATGTCAGCAATAGCATGTGAAATGCTAGATAAGCACGTGAAGATTGGTAACAGTTAATGATCTTCCAATTAACCAGCTCACAGTTTGATTCACTCCCAGGTTAAAAGAGTTCTCCTTTCCTAAAACAAATGTTATTGCAAACAGTTTCCAGCATACACCCAACGAAGAGATGGATATAGGAAAACTATTAATAACATTCAAGCATGGATTACCTTTCAATTGACTAACAAAGATTGAAAGCCAAAGTTACAGCTCAACAATAGAAAGATATTAAAGCCCAAGCAAACATGTGCATAGAAAGACAGATAAAGCTCCAAGGAGTTTACATTTCCAACTGATGTTTCTGATAGTTGGCGGGTCCATGCATTAGAAAGATTGACTGACCCATCTTTCAGAGAGACTGTAAAGCCAGTGGTCGCTGTTGAATGACGAGAAAGGTGACTGGAAAACACAGGAGAACTTCCAAATTAGATATATTTCCGGTCACTATATTTTGTTTAAAAAAAAGAAAATACGACACATAATGGGTGATCTAAATGACAGAAAATGAACAAACGAAAATTTACCGAGTTGTCTGTAGGCCAACAACTGCTCTTAAACCAGCAGTTGCCATGAACTCTATTGAGGAAACAGAAGATAACTGATGCCGCAGCAAAGCTGTTGCCCCACCAGTACCAGAATTACCAGTAACTGCCAGATTTCCACCAATGGCAATTGTGTTGTTCTTCGATAGATGAGATTGTACCTCACTTGACATTGCCATTCTGCCGATTGTGAAAATGTATTCAGTAACTTGCTAGATCATTAAACATTAATTGCCCTGACATAAATTGATTAATTACTAATTAATAGTTGAGAGAAATTTGCTATAGAGTTGGAAGTCAGATAACAAGAATAATGGTTTGGTGAAATTTAACCTTAGAAATATTTTAATGTTTTATTATGTGCTTCAAAAAATACTCTTGAGATTTAATTTACAAATGATGGATCATGTGATGAGCATAGCATCATCTATAAAGACAAGGTATGTCCGAGTAAGAATTTCACATAGGATACTTCAACCAAAACTCTACCAATGTTGTGCTCAGGGCCTTATTCTTTCACTGTTTATCCCAACAAAGGGTCTTGAAGTAAGAACACAGTGATGAGCAATAGACAGCGGGCAATTAAATCGATCAAATATCTACAGAATGAATTCTAAAGTACAGCAACAATAAAGAAAATGATGGCTAAAGGTTGTGAAGGCGCCAGACTGGCCTTTGTAATCCATGTTAAATAGATTTAATCTAGGGGATATAGGAAAGAAGGTGATAAGCTTGTGCATGAGAGCAGGATGAGATTATCTACTTAAGAAATTGGAAACACTCGCAGGGAAAGGTGATAGAGTTAGTAGGTAAATGATTGGCAAACATATTGCTAGTAGGAAACTATATGAAGAGGTGAGATGTTCAGAGAGATTGACAATAAGAACAAAGGCCTTAAATTTAATACATATGGAAAAGTGAAAGAAACAGACAACAAACACTTGTAGATATTGTAGTAAAGGACAATGTTATAGATGTAAAACAAGTTGAAGATAGAATAGCACTGATTAGAAGATATAACTAACATTTATTAGTGCTTACACACCAAGATATGATCGTATATGGACCAGCTTTTCAACAAATTTTGAAGTTAAAAACAAATTTGGGGGTTAGGAGACTATATCCAGTAACAATTACTTACTCAACTTTCAATAACACAAAAGATAACTGTAGAAAATCTCTCAACAAGTAGGGGCAAATAATCTTATATTTTACCGCACTTTCCATGTCCTAATATTTCTTTCATTTAAGAAATTACAGATTTCCTATGGAAACCTGAACTGCCAGAGGAATAAAAAAGTGATGGCTCTTATCATTTGCATCAACATTTAGGAATCAGATAATAACTGGAAATCCGTTATATAGTACTTATAACAAAGAATCTACATTATATTTGTCTAGTGCTTTTCCTTTTAAGAAGGGTTTATTCATGCATATTTCAGATGCATCTAACAGGACCTAGACTGATTCATTGTCAGGTCCATGTTTGTAAAAGGAAAGGTTGAGACTCCAACTTATGGTTAAGCTCATGTTCACAGATGATATTTAACATATCAAATAGTCCATTAGAATGGAAATTTTATAGACGCAGATGAATGAAGGAATTATCACTTCAAAGTTAAAGTACAAGCACTTAAGCAGCACATACCCTCTCAATATACCACCCCCATCTAGATACTGGGGTACCGACAAATGAGCAAAAATTGAACCAGCAGGTCGAGAATAGGCGAATGCCTTCTCTTCCTCCTTGCGTCGTCGAAGCCTTTCAAGTTCCTCCTTAATTTCCTCTGGTCTGTTCAGCTTCGGGCCGAGCTCCAAGCCCGAATTCAGCCCTTCCATTCCATAGATATCATAAATCTGCCTCTTGTACTCGTCGCTCAAAATCCCATAGGCATCTCGGATCCGCTGAAAGTTTTCCGTGGCAATATCTTTCATCTGAAACCAGAAATGTTCCTCAAAACATATATCTAACATACACTACGACCGCCGGCAGAAATGAGCTGTTTGAATAAGAGTAAAAATTCTACAAACTCGTAGAACATAATACTATATATCACTAGAAGCTGAGGTTTTAATCCAAAAGTAAGCCATTTTCTGAAATGTGTACTTGGTTTGTATCAAAAAAATCAGAGACCTTTTTTTTTGACAATTCACAGTCGATCATAACAAAATGTTCAAAAGCACTGAACACAAATTTCTCCTACTTCCGATAAATTTCTACCAACATTTCATCGATTCAATCGATATTGAACAAAAATCGAGTACCTGCAGATCTTGGTACTTATCAGGATGATAAATCTGGGCCCACTGACGATAAGCCCTTCGAATCTCCTCATCGGATGCTTCCGGCGATAAATGAAGGAGAGCGTACAAATCTCTCTCGGGCGGCGCCTCCGCCGATTCCTTCATCGCTTCTGGATATATCCCCCTCTTGTTTTCTTTTTTTATTTTATTTCTTTTTTGTGTTTCGTTTGATCCAAACTTTATTAGGGCTTGGCTTGAGATATGGGTTTTCTTGAGCGAGGGGTTTAAGACAAAGCAGGGGAATTTTTCAGCGAGGGGTTTTTTATGTGTTTGGGTTTGGATTCAACAGAGTAATACGTTTCTTTTTTATTATTATTTTTTTTTCCGAGCGAGGGGTTTAGGACAAAGCACAGAAGAACTGCGGTGACGAGAGTCATGCTTGATAACGGGTACGGTTACGGGTAGAATCGGGTTAGATGGGTTTGGATTTAACACGCCCGGTAATTGGTTTTTTTTATTCATAATTTTTTTTATGTGCAACAAAATCCTTCAACTTTACATATTGTTTCTTCAAGTTAGAGTGATACGTATTTTTTTTATACCTTGTTTGGATTGAGGGGATGAGGGTGAAGGGAAGTTAGGGGAACCATTCACCTCCATTCACCTTATTTGGGAACACTTAGGAGGTGAAATTAATTCACCCTAGGGCCTGTTTGGATTCGTAGGGGGTGAAGGGAAGTTAAGGGAAACTGAGTGAAGGGAAGGGAAGGGAATTCTCTTCCCCTTGGTTACACCCCAATTTGGGGGGTAACAATTTTTATACTATTAGGGGGTGAACCAAGGTGAATGAAGGTGAATTAACTTCACCTTCTAAGTGTTCCCAAACAAGGTGAATAGAGGTGAATGGTTCTCCTAACTTCCCTTCACCCTCATTCCCCTCAATCCAAACAAGCCCCTAGTTCCCCTTGGTAACCAAGGGGAAGGGAACTCCCTTCCCTCCCATTTCATTCTCTTCACTTCCCTTCTCTCAATTTCCCTTAACTTCCTTTCACCCCTTACAAATCCAAACATGCCATTAAAGTGCAGGAAAGTCCCAATTAATTTAACGTTTAACCTACTTTGCCTTTTCAGGTTAAATTTAAGCTGGGGTTCTTTTTAAAAAAAAAACTTAATAACTTGTTTACATCATCATGTAAATTTGTATGTTCAATCCTCTCTCTCTTTACAAATCTTCTCCTATTATTGTAATTTCTAAACCATAATCAAGGAATCACAAGTTTGTAAATACATTAAATAGATAATATTTATCAATGATACATATGATATCTACGACTTGTGATGTAATACAATGAAAAATCCAACGAACGAGCCAATTAAGATAGTATTTAGTGAACAACTGCAGAGAAGAAGAGAAAGAACAACGTTTTTTTAGGAAGCTCCGATAATGGGTAGATAGTTTGTTTATTATTCTTTGTTGTTGTTTTCTCAAGAATACTACTCCTCTTTTTATAGGGACCAAACCCATCATATCCACCCCTCTCATAACCGCTCATGATAGATTTTCTCTCAACAAACTCATTTTCCACGTTTTTCACAACTTGAGAGCTGTTGATTTGATCACACAAGATCGAGTCAAGGTAACATCTAGAATCTGGAGAAGGGATGTCTCAAAATACAGCTGATGAAAAGGGATAAGTTGAAAATTAATATACAGATAATTTTTTTGATAAATTATTTTCGATGAGGATGTAGATGATTGTCTTTTCGTAAAATCATAGCAAGCAGATGGTAATTTAATATGCACTTCAGATTAGATAATGTGTGTACACTTGATGGGGAAAATGATTATATATGTACACAGATTCTAAAAAAAATTCATAATTTGATAATTGTATAGATCTAAGTTAAATTTATGGTTTAGATCAAACTCTTAACAATAGACTTTTATGTATTAAATAGTTAGAAATATGTAGTCTGTTTATTTAGTCATCGCAATTTTGATTCTGAATAATCAGAGGACACGTGTAATAAATCATTAAAAACAGAAAGATTTTATTGAACCCGTATAAAACTCCTTTGTAACCTTGCAAAATTATCTTTAATCCACAGCTGTTACCTCCTTAACGGGTCTACACCCTAACCGAAATCGATTTCCTTCCGCCCTTAAAACCCGCCGAAGCACGGGTCCTGACCCGTTATCACTTATCACCCGCCAGCTGCCCACGCGAGAAAATCTAAAAAATCTGCATATTTACAGCAAATAACCTTAAAAAGAAAAAGCGTCATCATTATAAATCAGCGCATCTTCATCCGCTTGCGCCCTCGTCTACTTCCATTACGCTCAGATAGTAAGTTTAATTTCCCATTTCTATAAAGATTTCGTTAATTTGCTGTTATACTATCGATTAATTTGGGATTTTTTCCCCTTAAATGTAGTTCAATTTCTAGACATCAATCCTTCAGGTGATTTTCCCTTTTATGTTTGTATTTTTGTGTGTTTTTTTTTATATTTTCATTTTGGGGTTAATTCTCTTGAAAGAAATTGTCCGTTCGTTTGATGCATTTAAGATAATTAAATTCAGGTATCAGAAAATAGAGAGAATGTAGTAATATGATGAATGTGGGTAGGTTTTCGGGATTATTTTAACATTTTTCTTATTGGAAGGAAAATAACCTCAATTTTGACCACAACCCTAATGGTTCTATTTGCGATGAGCATTCTAAATTATTCTTTATTTAATCATATGTTACTAGGAGAAGCTTTGTTAACACTGAAGAAGTTGTTACGAAGAGCCACAAATAAGGACGGAAAAAACACATAGATGTCTTGCTTTGAACAAAGTTTTTGGCTGAAAAGTCTGATGAAATTTTCTTCTTTTGGTTTTGAGGTCATTTTTTAAAGGTGTTATATAACCCAACACTCAGTGCTATTAACTCATTTCAGCTCTAAAGTCTCGGTAGAAGAATAAAATACAATTCCCTTTTATCCAAAGTGTGTGACAAACCCTTGATGCAATTAGATACTTGACCAATGTGATTTAAGTCCTCAAATCTACTCATAGAGACCGGGTCCTTTGAACTTGAAAGAAGGATTTAAAAGAATTCCTATTCAAATTCAACAATGAGCTATTCAAACTACAACACTTATTCAAGTTCATGTACAATATTTGAGAGTGCACACAAATCAACTGAGTTTCTTTCCTATGCATGAATGTCTACAATTTGCACAACAGAAAGATTCCAGTTGGTTAAATTTACATTCAAGATGTTAGTAGTCAAAGAATAAATTGGTGTGCAAGGTTTTCAAGGTCATTAGATAGTGATCATCAAAGGTTTTCTTTCTCAATGTAAATGCTTCAGAAGAAACCATAGATATGTGGAACTGCTACTCTTAGATGTCCAGTGTTTTTGGCAAATTGATGCTTAGGAATGAAAACCGTTTCTTTTAGTTTTAACCCCCTTCCAATTTTGTAGATCAACATGTGCTTTGGAATCACTAGGTAACTGATACATCAGTGGTATGAATCCTTCCTGAAGGAGGCAAATATTTGTGATCCCAAAGGATGTGCATGTTAATGAGTCTTTTGTACTAAATTGACACCAGTTCCCTTTATTTTCATACTCACTTCATCAGGAGAATTATGAAAGCCTGGTTCTTCATTATGGCTAATGCCCTGAATCGGATACATCAATTTGTGCTGCATGGTAGGTTCCGGTTGTGGTTTGGACCAAAGTCGGCAACAGGAACTCATCATCTTTTTTTACCTCCAATGGAATGTTTTATTAAAATCAAAGCTCACTTTTTAGAAATTGAGGAAATCTGAGAAAGTTGATATTCTTTCTATTGTACCATCCTTTTTACTCTAGCCATGTAAAAGCAAATTTGCACCTGAAATTACCTTTAGCTATGTCAAAATTACAAGTTATGTCAGCATGAAATTACAATAAGTTTTGAGTGGACATCCCTAGTCAGTAGTCTGTGGAATTCTCTACTCACCATGTCCATATAAGTCCTCTCCCTGTAATCTTCCATAAGGGCATAAAAAGGAGAATAGAACAAGCTAGAAAATTGGATGCTTATCCATCTCCGAAATTGATTAAAATTTTAATCATCGTGAGTACAAATGGTTGTTTAGAAGATACTGTTTTTTGTTGGCTTTTCTTTTTTTTCCAAACTGCGTCATTTTAAGATCTCACTCAAGTAACATGGAAGCTTCTTTTATATTTGTCTGGATTATTGTTTCCATAATTATTAAGGTACTTGTTTAAATAGAAACTTATGATTGTGAAAATTGATTTTTTTTGTTACTTCATATTTGTTTGCTATTGGTTCTTTTGGGGCTGTTTTCTGGTTTTGGGGTTGCAACTTGCAAGGTATCAGTGGATGGCACTATATGAAATTGTGAGGGCGTTTGGCAACTAAACATCTCAAGAGAAAGTGGTATTTCGGAAGTTGCATATGGCCAAGAATCAGTAATTTACCTCTAAAAATTATGGAATTGTTTATCTAGAAAACTATGTGCCTTCAGTGGGGGAAGGCAGTTCAGGTCAGGTCCATTAGGTTGCATAGAAGGATTTGCTTTGGATTTTCCAAAAGGGAAGAGAAGTAAGGTGCATGGTATGGACACTTAACTAAAAGGCGGTTGACTTTGTTTGATGGGCTGAATGAAATTTTTATTGAAAGTTGAATATGTTAGAGCCAATAACTTCCACGATGGACATTGTGTAAATAACTATGTTGCTTATGGAAATAACCGTACTGTTTTTTGGGTATGAATAATGCTAATACGGTATAAGAACTGCCATAACATGGTTATAGGTATTACCTAACGAGTGCAACTGTTGATTTGTTACGTTGAAAGCAAAAGAGTATAAAGACCTTGTTCAATATAAGATGTATCATCTTATACCTAGTTACTAATTAGTGTTTGGGAGGTGTGAGGTACCTTCTACCTTTTGTACTGTCTTAAATAGTTGAACTTACTATCATGCAGAACCTTTGGATGAAATGAAGTTTTTTTTATTCAAAAAGATAAAGAAACTGCTCCAGCTTATCATATAAGAAGACGATAATTAATGGCCCATGAATTTTAAGTGGTTGGATTAGCACTATGATCTATATAACACAAATATATAAAATAGTTATGATATCATAGTTATTTGATATTTAACCCGTTTTGAATATTTATTTGATGTTCAAATGTTGGATTTTTGGTAGATATGTATCAAATACACCTCTGGGAATATCCAGAAATTTGAAATGTTCTCTAAATGTATGATATCAGAATTGTATTCCACAAGATAAAAATCAAATACTAACTAAGGAGTTACATGACTCTATTTAACTTTTAGGTGCATTTTAGATATATGTTTTTTGTTCTCTAAAATAGACGCTTTGTCAAATAACTATAGATTTATATAGTTGGAAATATTGTGCCTTTTAACTTTTCTAACCTTACACATATGTACGCACATGTTGTTTTCGCCAAAAGTCGAATTTGTTGTCGAATTCATTATATCTTCGGTCGATTACAATAAATTCAAAGAAAACAGCCTTTTTATAAGACTCTTTTACACAACAAAAAGAAAATTACAACTCTTGAGAAAATAAACGCAGGATCGTTGTTTGGATCACTGCTTTCGTGGGATCTTTGCCTGTGCCGGGAGCGCTTTGACTCGTGGACCACCAAGTCACAGATTCTGATTGAACCGTGAGAGGTTTATGATTCTGACTTCGTTTATCGAAGTGAGAAATTGAAACGATATCTTATCGATGTAAGATAGTCGTTCTTCTTGAAATCAAGTCAAAGCTCAATTTCAAGGATTGGCCGTAAGATCAACACCTCTGCTCTCTCTCTGCTCTGGATTGCTCTGGATTGCTCTGAAGTGCTCACAATGATCAGCCTTCTGAAAAAATGGCCTTAGGAGGGTATTTATAACCTCCAAGAACAGTTGGTAGAAAACAGGTTCGCGAGACAGTGTTTGCTGTCTCGCTGGGCGAGACAGTGTTTGCTGTCTCGACCCGGGAGACAGTAAATACTGTCTCGGAAACAGTAACCGCAGGCAGTTTTCGTTTTAACTGCCTTCCCACGTTTCAAACTCCGTTATTTTAGCAGTTATCCACGTGATTCTCGCCCACGACGTTTCCCACGTTCTTGAACAGTTAGTGGCCACGTGTAGGGCAGATGCAAAGGTAGTTTTGACCATCTGAAAACTGTCTCACGTGCAAGACAGTAAATTCTGTCTCGCACGGCGAGACAGTAAATACTGTCTCGCAGGGGCGAGACAGTGAAAACTGTCTCGCGGGGGTAACAGTTAGTGGCACGTGTAGGGCAGTTACAAAGACGGTTTTGACCATCTGAAAGCTGTCTCACGTGCGAGACAGTAAATTCTGTCTCGCACGGCGAGACAGCAAAGACTGTCTCGCGTGGGCGAGACAGCAAAGACTGTCTCGCGTGGGCGAGACAGTAAAAGTCTGTCTCGCCCGCGAGACAGTAAAGACTGTCTCGCACGGCGAGACAGTAAAGACTGTCTCGCGCGGCGAGACAGTCAAGTCTGTCTCGCATGGCAAGACATTCAAGACTTGTGTTCTTCTGCCTTTTTGGATGATTTCCTCTTGAGCTGTATTTGGATATCTTTCAGCATTTTTTGACGCCTACAGATACCCCCTCCAAAGTATTCCAGACTCAATCTTTTATAGAGGAGTTCTGGGATGCTTTGGATAATAAGATAGATTTTTCTTACGATCTCTTCAATACTTGGTTGAGTAGATCGTGTACAAGAATCCATAAAATGGCTTTGGCTCTTGATCTCTTCATCCGTTAGTCTATTCAGTTCTTTGTAGAATAGCTAATATTTCTCCGGTATCGTGTTTATCGCTTGTCCGTTGTAGAGATCTTGAATTAAAGCTGGAACTTGTACTTGTGAAATCAGCTCTTGTCGTCAAGTTGACACTGCATATACCCGTTTAGGGGTAGTCAGGTTATTCTCAAGGAACGAATCGAGAGGGGATTTTGGCTTTGGTCCTAACTGTTTAAAGGTTTGACCAAGATGGGAATTTGAGACGATCCTAACTGTTTAAAGGTTTGATCGTTCAATTTGTGGACCTCTCGTTCATGGAACGAATCGAGAGGGGATTTTGGCTTTGGTCCTAACTGTTTAAAGGTTTGACCAAGATGGGAATTTGAGACGATCCTAACTGTTTAAAGGTTTGATCGTTCAATTTGTGGACCTCTCGTTCATGGAACGAATCGAGAGGGGATTTTGGCTTTGGTCCTAACTGTTTAAAGGTTTGACCAAGATGGGAATTTGAGACGATCCTAACTGTTTAAAGGTTTGATCGTTCAAT